AAAAAAAAAAAAAAAAAATAGTATTCAGTACTATTGATTGGAAATGTGGTCAAGTTTACAGTTCTTTATGTCATATCTCTTGATGATGACTCAGGAAGTACATTTAAGTCTACCTAACTAACTTAGGCTACAATTTAAAAGGTTTCTTTGCAATGAGAATAATTTGTCATTAAGACAAAGACAGGATAGTTGTGAACATGTTCTATTGCAGTCTCTTTTCAATAATGACTCTCTAATATGAACTAAATATCCTCAAAAGCTTGAGATGTATGACATAGAATTGTGATCACTCTAAATGATCTTTAGAGACAGGTGTCACCAGGTGTATATATATCTGTGTGTGTGTGTGCTTCAAGAAATGGTTAGGTATTTGCTGCACGTACCTGCATAAGGCTCGAGGAAAAAGCTATATGCATTAAACTCTCTCTGTGCAGCTGCTCCCTGGTTGAGCATATATGGAGTTGGGAACAAAATGTTTTTTGTATTTGCACCCTATTTATATTTTTATTCCCACAGTGTAGAAGCAACACCTCTGGAACATCACTTAGAATTAAAAGTCCGTGGAGTAGCCTGCTTTAATTATCACAGCACTGCTTGATTGCTGCCATAACTTACAGATAATATTCTGCCCACCAGCTGTTCAGCGTTGTGAAGCTAAAATGATCAGATGGGCACAGAGCTCTGTCATGCTCTCTACTGCATTGCGATATCTTAAATTAAATATTCCAACAATAATCATACTATTTAAAACCTCAGAGTACTTGGAGTGAGCCAGTGTGTGTGTGTGTGTGTGTGTGTGTGTGTGTGTGTGTGTGTGTGTGTGTGTGTGTGTGTGTGTGTGTGTGTGTTCAGGTCTTTCTCATGTTGTGGGGCCCTGAACTTGTCACATAATGGGGATATGTTTCTTTTTGGGAACCAAAAGCAAGTCCCTTTGATGTTATTCGGTAATGTTGTACGGTTGAGGCTGGGTTAGGTGTAAGAAGTAAACACTTCATCTGCTGTAGGTGAACTGAAGAACTAAAGGCAGTGCTGATACATCTCATTAGCGTTCCCATCCCCGTATTAGCTCCTAAAAAGGACTCTCTGACTTCAGTGATCTCCAGCCTAATGTTCAGTTAGATTTTAGCTTGTGAACCGTCCAGGGTGCACCCCGCCTTTTGCTAAGTCACAGCTGGGATAGTCCACTATCACATTATAGCACACGTAATAAATTGTAAATGCAATGAATGAAACATTGTATTAAAGTAAGGTTATGGTCAGGCAACTCTATCCTTGGAGTTCGATAGAGTCTCCAGAAAAAGACCAGTGCCACGTCCTCGAAAGTCACGAAGTCAAGGATATGCATTCTCATGTTTGCGTGTGTGACTGGAGAGAGAGAG